GGTCTAGAGGTCGTAAACACTCAGTTACTCTCCATCTTTGGACACGTAATCCCCGCCTTCTAAGTGCACCAATGAACCGCCTCCTTTGGGGTAACTGGACCTGCCATTGAGTCACCAGTTATGCTTTCATAAATGTTATCAAGCTCATCATCTGTTATATTTGAATAACTCTCAAATTCGTCACTTAGACCAAACTCTTTGCGTCTCCTTTGAACCGCAGAAACACTGACTTGAAGCATATCAGCTATCTTTCTCCAAGAAAAAAATAATGAGCGCAAGTGTTCCAACTGATTTAGTGATTTCATAACGTTTTCGACCTGGTCCAGACTGTGATGACACCACACTGGGAGCGGAGTAAGCAGCATCTTGGTTACAATCTTCGTTCTCTCCGCTCTTCTTTCTCACCGGAATAAAGAAAAGAAGATGAGATATGCAAGAGCTCAAATTTTGAAGTGGTTCTTGAATTGCACTTGCAGGAAATCCTGTTGGATTGGGGTCTCCCCTCGCGATGTCAAGTCTTAGAAGAGACAGAGTCCCATTAACATCCACCAGTTGATTACGAACTTCATTGATTGACTCATCCGTCAGTTGCAGATCAGGATTTAGAAAGAGTCTCAACATTGTTTTCAAATTTTGCAGAAAATGACTAAAACCTCCTTCATTTCTTTCCCATAATACACGACGTCGATTTCTGGCCGCCATCTTGAAAGAGGGCTTGCAATGGGTGATGGGAAGTCTAATGGTGCGCGCACTGCTACATGGGATTCGCTAATTAATTCAAGAAGAGGAATAAATAATTTGTACTCACGAAAAATTAAATCTCGTTCGAAAAGTAATTTAGAAAAAGCATAAATAATTGCAGGACAGGAAAAAAATAATTTACACAGGTAAAATTAATTCGTAGAGTACGTATAAATAATTGTGACACCACATGTAATTACGGTAAAGAGGAAAAATTAATTCGTAGATTACGTATAAATAATTATAGCACCACATTTAATTACGGTAAAGAGGAAAAATTTATTCAAAAAGTCCAAAAAGTTGCCCAAAAGTTGCTAAAAAAATCAAAAAGTTGCCCAAAAGTTGCTCAAAAATCAAAAAGGTGCCCAAAAGTTGCTAAACATAAAGTTTATTTTTTTTAAATCAATTCGACGGTTTAATCGAAAAAGGGCTCAATTGTCCTGAATCTGAATGAATCTGGATCACTGGAGCGTTCAACTCCGTCCGCCATTTTGTTTACAAATGAAACGAGTCCCATGCTAGCTCAACCTTATTTTACACAGTGAGCCCACTCTAAAGACAACAATTGTTTGATCAATTACATTTATAAAAATCAGTATTGAAAATACAAAGTTTACTCTTTTTTAATAGATTACGTGGTTTAAACCCTGAAAAAGTCAGAAAAAGAACAAAAAATGCTAAAAAGATCAAAAGTTGCTCTAAGTTGCTCGAAAGTGAAAAAGTTGCTCGAAATTCAAAAAGTTGCCGAAAAGTTGCCGAGCAACTTGTGGACAGCCTTAGTACAAATAATTAATCATGAAGGACGAAAAATTAATTCATTCAGTACATATAATTATTCATGAACAACGAAAAGTTATGTGTATTTTGACCAATTCGGGCCCCCATAACAATAATTAAATGGAATAATCTAATAACGAACACACTAGAATCTTTCAAAGGCAAAATCTGCAACATAAACTACTCTTCTGTATATTAAGTATCAAGTGCTTTGATTCAGACCATAGATGTATTCCGTCGGCGTCGACGCTATACACTTCTTGCATGGTTAGGACGAGGAGATTGCATATCAAAGTGATTGCATACAAAAGCTGGTATCAACTTCCGTTGATCACGCCCCAACAATGCCCGACTATAAAGCGTGGATTTCACTATCGCATAAGCATAGGCATAAGCACGAAGCACGAGAGTCATATGCGCCAGTGAGAACRRSCTCRAAATAAGCATAAGCATGAGCACAAGAAAAACGAGCAAGGCTTGATCTTATTGTGCTTATCTCATGCTTATGCTTGGTGAGAACGGGACTGCATAGGCATAAGCATAGCCTGGTACCGAAAAAAAAACGCTCGTGCGCATGCTCAATATATTATGCTTATGTCGAGCCCGTTCTCACTGGCGCATATGATTCTCATGCTTGTGCTTATGCTATGCTTATGCGCTAGTGAAATCCACGCTTAAATAGCACACGATTTGAACCTTTTTGCTCATTTATCAGAATCGTCTCTAAAATGTCGATTATTACCATTGGGTTTATAAAAAGTAATTTTAAGCTTTAGGAGAATCGCATTTTATTTTGAAAAAATATAAAATTAAGGGGGTCAAAATTCGATTTTCTGAAACAAGGTTGCGTACCTATTTTGAAGTCTTGTCACCACCTTGGGTAATACAACGTGTCCGTACTCCTTTATGCAAAATTGCTAGATTTAAAGATATAATTTGCATATATTGTCAAAAATTTTAAGGGGTCAAAAGACGTTGAAAGCTTGAGCTATGTCATTTTTGCTGTTGGTCGCCGATCTTTGAACGCCTCGGGAAGCTTTGAGTATGGCAAACACCGTAAATGACGATTTTCTTTTAAAATAAGTTCTCGTCAGTTCAATCGCTTTTAATTCCAAATTGAGGGTCACGTGATCAGCGTTTTTTCGCACGATTTGTTAAAATTTCGGTTGGGTCTAACATATTGATTAGGGTTAGGACTGTTGTCTTAGGCTTATGGCTGAGATTTGGCTTAGAGTTAGACTTGTGCTAGGGTTACTTCGGACCTTGTGGACTAGGTTTTTGACCTACAACCGTTGCCAAAATACCTTGGACCATACAATTATTTGTATACAGCCTAACATTTTTCTTCTTTATTTTTTCACAATTTTCCCCCTTAGCCCCCTTTCATCAATGTTGGGTCTTGTTTTGGATGCTTTTGTACTACTATGGGAACATGATCAATGACAACATTGCATTTAGGGGGTCAGGGGGGATGAAATTGTCTTCGAGTGTTGCTTAAAATGAGGAAATTCGCTGGAATGGTATGATTAAGCGTAGGGGAATGAAATTTTCTGCGTGTGTTGCTTATGAGGAATTCGCTGGAATGGTCTAAGGATTTTGTTAACGATTGTAGGGTTAGTCACGTGACCAGCCTTCGCCAACAAAGTCAAACTCCATAGATGTGATCTGCACACAACATTGACCATGCTCAACTACCTAAAGTCCCTTTACTATGCGTAAACATGAAGACGACCACCCCCTAAACTTTCACTTTTGTGCGGTTTGCTAAATATGCCATAAAGACTAGTTTATAAGACACTTACCCCGTAACTCTGTATTGCCTATATAGTTTTATCTTAAACTTTGCGAAAGTAATCAGACTTGCTGTAAAAACCTGTCCACAAAGTTTTGGAACTAAATAGCCAATAAACTACGAAAAAGTGTTTTTCAATTTTGATTAGAATGTAGCTCCGAGTAGGGAAAAAAATGGTCTTTTTAGTTTTTGAGGTCATCCATACAGAATGAGCTTAACCTCAAACGAAAGAAACGAAGGAGTGAATTTTTCTGATGAGTCCTGTGAAAAAGATAAAAATGAGCTCTTATAAATTTGTGTGTCTTTTGTCTTGACATTTGTCATTCGTTTGTATAACTGTATAATTTTTAAAGTACATCATTAAGAAAGTAAGAAAAGGACAAGGATAGGACAAGGACCCTTTTATTAATTTGCACGTCGTTTAGCTGTACACTGTTGTAATCAATAAACATTAAGAGGGGAACAAGCGTCCATTTATTTGCTTGACTTATCAATTCAAGAAAATTCTTATATGGGGTTGCAATGGCCGGAATCTCGAGTTTAAATTTCGTCTGTCTTTTTCGTCATGGTCGTCGTCTTTCGGTCACAATTGCCCTTGGCCAAACTAGAAGTCACTGGGTACGAATGTTATATTTAAGCCTATCACATGATATTCACAACTTCCATGTGCTTTCTTTGTGGTGGCGAGTGTGATAATGACGGTGATTTAAAGACATGTACTCAATTCAAATACGCCCAAATCACTTACAAATCCAAACGCACCATTCGCGGTATAGTCACACTAAAAGATGTCGAGCGGTTTTCGAAAGGGTAATTGGAGAGATACCACGAATTCATATCGTGAAACTTTTTGTGAAGTTGATCATGCTGCCTATCGATCGAGTCTATCGAGAATTGTCTTATCAAAATCGAACTATATACTAGCATAGTTATCTAAGGAATACGAACAGAGTTCTACCGAGAACAAACCGACGATTGGAAGTATCATAAAGCGGAGAAGATGAAAAGACTGTGTTTATAGACTTCCATGTCACTGCTATCCCCTGCTATCAAAGTGATAGATTTAAATAATTAAGCAAACTGAAAAGATGTCAAAAAATAATAAAGGGTGATATTTATTGGTACTATGCAATTCCTGGGGTTTTCTCGTTAGCCATATTTTGATGCACTGCAACATTCGCAAGTGTAAACGAGCCTTAATTACCAAAGAAACTACGAAAGTATACAAACTTTATCGATATAACAATTTACACTGAATCTGCAGTACTAGATTTTTATCAACAAGAACCCCGAGTTCACGCAGCTATGTGTCTAGTTTCAGTTTAAAACAGAAAATATCGATTTGAAACTCAATCAAAAACAGCCAGCAAGCCTTACTCGAGGACTCCATGATCCATCACGTGACCTGTGTTTCATACCTTTCGTAGTTTATATCTCGCGAGGCCCGTGATCGATCGCGACGTAATCCCACGGTTAATCCGCATTTCACTGTTTTCTCCACTAATATATTTGCAGTCTCTCTAGCCATCTTGCTGCTATGGAAAGTATAGTTATGCTGTGTTTTTGTTTTCAAGTAAATACAAGAAGCATATTAACAGTATTCAAGGCAAGGAGGAAGGCTACTCCTTCGTGTCAAATTTGAATTCATATTTTCTAATACAAATTACGATTTTCTTTTTCATTTAAGTAACTAAGAAAGTTGAGGAAGACAAGATCATAGAATTGAGACTAAAGGAAGTTTCGATAGACATTCATGGAAAAGGCATCGTTGATGATCGTCGAAATAAATTTGAAGTTCATTTTGCCAAGGTCAATTCCGAGTACCAAATGAATAAATTTCTTGATCACATCATGGAAGACCCAAAGTATGCTTATGCCGAAGAAGTTGTTTATGCCCACAAACTATATGACTCCATAAACAAGAGGCTATCTATTGGCCATAAAAGTGGAGTAAGAGGGATTATTTTTGGCGCGTTTGTTGCACAACTCCAAGTCAGGGACATTCTTGTCATAGTAGTACTATGGAAATGTACGAGTTTCGATTATATCAATGATTGTGTACTCAGTTTACTCATATCACATGGACTATTTGGACATAAAAGCCCAGAAGAATCACAAAGTAGAAAATTTGATTTCATCCGTGTAGTCAATGAACGTAAATCCAGGATCCTTAATTTTCACGCTCATCTTGCCTGTGTTACCTCACAAGAACAAGTTGAAAAGACTTTACAACAGCTCAAAAGAGACAGCAAGATTAGCGATGCAACATATCTGACTCACACGCTTGCCTATAGATTCTTTGACAAGGAAAAAAAGAGTTTTCTCGAAGAAAGTCGTGGTGATGGTGAGAATGTAGTCTGCAAAAAGCTGTTGCATTTGTTACAAATATGCAAGGTACAAAATGTACTTGTCATAGTAACTCACTGGCAATTTCATTACTGGTCTAAAAATCCTGGAGTTTATAACATTGGTCCTGAAAATGACATGCACATTAATTCATGCGCACTGGAGGTGATCAAGATGGCGAATGAAGCGGGAGTAATTCAAACTAGTGCTCCTCTTGAAATTATTTGTCGTGGTCAACAGGCCTTAGCAGCCTATGATAACGCTCTCTTGAATGGGAAAACGAAAAATCGAAGATTATTTCTGATGTTGATCGGACCATCTCGCTCAGGCAAAACAAGTTTACTGAAGTCTTTGAAAGGTAATGAATGCAAAGAATATATTATATATATGATGAGAGAGTACGTCACAAAAGGGATATTAGCTTAGGCGTAAATATCTAGCCGGGCAAAAGGCACGTTTCATGTGCCCGCGTGTATCAAAAGGATCTTAATTCTTTGTCTCTTTTGTGTTGTCAATCCACATACTTTCGTGCATCATTATACATTCAATATCATTGGCGTTGTTCAGTTGTAAAGACATAAAGACAACAACAAAGTCATTTGCATAAAAAGTATTTTCAATCCTTACGAAAGACTATGATTCAAAACTCCAGAACATGGCATAATGCTTCCAGAGATAACGCGAAAAAAAAAACATTCTGTTAGAGTATGGAGAAAGCTGAGAACATAAATTGGAAGTAAGGAGTTTTTGCACGGGCACGCGTGTACAAAAATTACAAAAGTGTGTAAAATAGTAGAAATAAGTTCCTGCGAAATTTTCGCCCTTTTAGTTACTGGATGCGCTCTATAAATGAAAACGTTGCATTTAGCTGTCAAATTCTGTATTTTTTATTTTCATCTTCCATCTTTTGTATTTATTTCAATCTTTTATGAAATAGACCAATCCCACATTAGCTTGGATAAACACGAAACTGGCTTCATTTCGAGGCTGGAGTTTTATCTTTTGTCGAAATGAAGCCATTGTTTCGTGGTCATCCAAGCAAATTTGGAATTGATCTATTAATCTTATAAACTCATTCCCAGTCTGGTAATCCTGTCTAAAAAGGCTAGAAAAGGCAGTAAAATTATGAAAACTTAAAAATATTTACATGGATGATTATGATTCTATCTCATAAAACGTAACCAATGGACCCACATGAAGAACAAAGCCTACCGTGAGTGACGTCACAATCATAAAGATCAGCCTGAGAGCTATCTTTCACGCTCGAGAGCAAGCATTCCTGTCGATCAAACTGAAGTGAATCGAGCGATTCTGGCCGACCTGGAACGGCTAAATGAAAGTTTTGCTACCTTTGGTGTCCAAGATTACAATCAATTTGAGGAAGTAGACGAACGTTTTGATGAGAATAACGAAGTTGAGCCTAGTGAAGGCTCGTACATAAATATCCAGGAAGATTTGGACGGGATTGCAAATCTCGCTGCTGTTAACACTCCAGATGGGCATGCAGCCAGTAATGATGATGATATTTTGGACTATGAAAATCAGCTAGACATTGACAGTGATATTAAAGGTCCAAAAATAAATGAAAGAGTTGCAACAGTTGTGAACAAATTATGTGTGAAACGGATCAGCCTTGAGCAAAGCAAAAGTATTATGAAACGTCATAATACACCTGAGAACGTCAAGGTTAGTTTGCCAAAGTGTGAACAAAGTATCTGGAATCAGCTCCCAGGCAAAGTGAGGATGAATGATGTTAAATTCCAAACTGCACAAGCCATGCTGTTATCTTCAATCAACTGCCAGTTGAAGGTCTCAGAAGTGTTGGTAGCTATGAAAGCTGACAAAGAGACGGTGACATCATGCCTGGACGGATTGACGGTGGCTATGACTGCTAATTATGAACTGAACAAGAGGCGGCGAGATGCCATAAGACCACAATTTAAAAGTGAATTTGCCACGGGCTTGTGTAGCTCATCTAATTAACCCAGCAGACGAGTTCCTATTTGGAGGGGAAACTGCCAAAAGGGTAAAGGAGATAGCAGAGTTAAACAAAAGCAGAGTCAAAAATCCATCCGCACCTCGAGGAAGAGGACAGAGGTTCTCTCCTTATCCTTCAAGAGGATTCAGAAGTGATCATGGAAATAACAGGGGCAGGAGCTCTCGTGGTCGTGGTAACCAATGGCGATATACTAATCGACTACCTTATCAGCAGAACCAGCATTTTCAGAATGCGCACCAGCCAGAGAAAAAGTCAGGCTTGAAGTCAACCCATTATTGGTATGTAAATTTAGAGAAAGAAATGAAAACATTAATTAACAACCAACCACCTTTTGTGGCTGGACAGACTAAGAACTACATTTTAGAATGGCATAAGATTACATCAGACCCCGAAATTTTAGATCATATAGAGCATTGTCACATTGAATTCATAGATAATCCTTGCAAATATAGTGGTGGGGGACAGAGGAATTTCAGTCTAGAACAACAGCTCATTATCACCATGGAATTAGATAAATTATTGCAGTTGGATGTCACTGGTCTATCAGAGCATGAAATGGGTGAATGTTTATCTCCCATATTTGTCACCCCAAAACCAGATGGTTCACACAGGCTAATTTTCAATTTCAAAAAATGCAATGAGGCAGTGCTTTTTCGACACTTTAAAATGGATACATTGAATATAGTGATCAATTTGATAACTCCTTATGCATTTATGGACTCGTTGGACCTGAAACATGCTTATTATACCATCCCTATGGCAGAGGAGCATAGAAAGTTTCTTAAGTTTCTTTGGGATGGACAGTTGTACGAATTTAAGGCTCTGCCCATGGTGCTGTCCAGTTCCCCTAGGATTTTCACTAAGGTGATGAAACCACCTCTTGCGACCCTTAGGCAGAAAGGATACACTGTCACAGGTTATATAGATGATTTTTATTTGCAGGGAAGTGATGTTCAGGAATGTTTCGATAATTTATATGAGAAACAGTTATGCTTTTTCTAAAATTAGGTTTCACCCTACACCCAGATAAATCAGTATTAATGCCTACCCAAGAGTTGACTTTCTTGGGTTTTGCATTGAATACAATTTCCATGACAGTCACCTTAAGTTTAGAGAAGAAAGAAAAGTTGAGATCACTTTGTTTGGAGGCATTAGATGGAGATGCTCTATCTATCAGATTTGTAGCTAAGATTATTGGTAAGATTGTGTCCTCCCTACCTGGAGTGGAATTTGGGAGACTGCACTACCGCAGCATTGAACGTGACAAAATTAAGGCATTAGCTGGAAACAGGGTGATTATGATAGCCTAATGTATCTTTGTAAATTAGCCAGTGATGAACTACAGTGGTGGATCGATAATATCAGGCATGCTTATCGTAGAATTCAGCATGTTCCAATATCGCTTGTTTTTCAGACTGATACCAGTGACAGTGGCTGGGGCGTCAATTGTACAACGGATCATTCTTTACAATCTAGTGGTATGTGGTCTAGAGATCAAGAATTGTTGCACATCAATGTAAGAGAACTCTATGTTGTGTTTATTTGACTAACTACCTTTTGCAGTTAAATGGTTGGGGCCCATCTCAAATTTGAACTTGACAACATGACCGCTGTTACTTATGTTAATCATATGGGGGGGGGGGGAGTCAGTCGGTTGCTTGTGACGCAGTAGCAAAAAAGATTTGGAATTGGTGTATCCCTAGGGATATATGGTTGAGTGCCACCCACATACGTGGTTCCACCAATGTGATTGCTGATTCCTTATCCAGGAAGCATTATTCTGATCATGAGTGGGCACTCAATAGGGATATGTTTGAAAAGCTTTATGATTTGTTTCCCAACCTTGGCATTGATCTGTTTGGAACAACACTTAATGCTCAACTACCTAGGTATGCATCATGGAGGCCTGATCCTTGGTGCTGCCTTTGTTGATGCATTCAGTAGGACATTGAGCAATGAATACTTTTATGCATTCCCTCCTTTTAGTTTAATTCCTCTCTGTCTGAACAAGATAGAGATCGATCAGGCAGAGGGTATTCTGGTTGTCCCAGCTTGGACAACGCAGACATGGTACCCGCGAATTCTGCAGATGCTGGTGCAACAGCCAAAACTCATGGTGTGGACTACAGCGATGGAGCTGTTGACGCATCCATCAGGCAGAAAAGTACACAGTATGAAGGGCAAACTCAAATTAATGGCATGTCCTTTATCAGGAAACTCTATGAAAACAGAGGCTTTTCTGAACACATTACCAGCATTCTCCTCGAGTCATGGAGACCTGCTACACAAAAACAATATGCAGTCTATTTTAAAAAATGGGCTGTATTCTGTAGTGAAGGGCAGATTAATCCATATTCGCCTGTGCTAGAGTTTTTGTATTCACTATGTCATTTATCCTATTCTGCTTTAAATACAGCTAGATCAGCTTTATCGTGCATTATTTGTGTGGACAAGATGCCAGTTGGACAGCACCTTATGGTGTGTCGTTTCTTGAAAGGTGCTTTTGAGAGAAAACCACCATCTAATAAGTACTATGGCATTTGGGATGTTCGTGTAGTGTTAGAGTTTTTGAAAACCTATATCCCTAATCAAGGTTTGACTTTAAAGGAACTAACGTTGAAATTGGCCATTTGTTGGCTTTGGTCACAATTCAGAGAAAACAAACTTTGCTACAGTTGAGTATCAGCAAAGAATGTTTAAAGAAATCACAAGATGAATTTGTGTTTATCCTCAGTAAACATGTGAAACAGAGCCGACCTACTGACCTAACTATCCAGTCCAACCTGTGATTATCCCCAGATTTACTCAGGATGGAGATATATGTCCTTATGCCTGTTTGGAGGAGTATTTGGAGCGTACTAAGAGTTTGCGACATGACGATTGGCTGTTTATTTCTATTATAAAGCCCCACAAGGCAATTGGCTCGCAAACGTTAGCGAGATGGATTAGAATTGTACTACAGTTGTCTGGTATTGACATTGATCTATTTAAGCCACATTCCACAAGACATGCCGCATCAACAGCGGCCTATCAGGCTGCCATTCCTTTAGATGAAATTCTCAAAAGAGCAGGTTGGAGTAATGCTAACACATTTAAAAGTTCTATCACAAGCTTGTTATAAGTGAGTCAGTGGTGTAATAAGTTTTTTCAGGAGTTATTGGTTTTTGGTTGTGTCTATTTAGGAACCCCAACTATATTTGCAGGTGTTTTGTTTATGATATTTCTTTAAACTGATTTGTTAAAAAAAACAGTTTGATATTATGGAATAAAGCAACTTTTTGGTATATTGCAGTTTTCATTTAATGATATAGTGGGTACTCATAGTGTCCTCTCACGCTTTGAAGACTTCATGTCGGTCCATTGGTTACGGTTTATGAGATAGAATTAATAAGTTAAACGAGACCTACCTGTAAGTTGAAATTTGACTGCAATTCTATCTCATAAAGAGTAGTAACCAAGGACTGACATGCCCACCTCTCCCTCCCAGGGGATTATACAGTACCTCAGTTACTGAGAGTTCTTTTTTTTCGTTTGATATGCCTTTTACCTGTGTTCCTCCACTATGAGTAAGTTTTGAAGAAATGATTGTGACGTCACTCCCGGTAGGCTTTGTTCGTTCTTCATGTCAGTCCTTGGTTACTACTCTTTATGAGATAGAATTGCATTCAAACTTCAACTTACAGGTAAGTCTCGTTTAACTTATTAATTAAAAGTTCACTTTTTTTAGGAGAGGTTTTTGATCCCGACGAGGATAGCACTGATCTTATAGCCTTAAATCGCTATTGTTGCAAGCTAATAGACGGGATATGGGTGAAAGATGGTGCAAGCGAAGACGAAGTTTCTTTTGACAGCGTTGTGTCAAAAGACATTGCAAAGAATTATCAAAGTGAGCCAAATGTAGTGGGAGAAGGGAAAAGATCTACAAGTGCTGATGGTAGAACAAACTTTGATAAGAAGATAGACGAAAAAGCTAATCCAGTAGTAGAGATGCAAAAGGAAGGATCTGGTAATGCTGATAAGAGTTTTTTAGAAATTGTTAGTCAAGAGAATTCTCGTTTTTCAAGTACTGGGGCAGTTGATAGTCCGATTGATTCTAGACTACAGGAGAAGATACTGTATGCTTTCGCGAAACAAAAGCCAAATGAAAGCGCAGATATCATTTGTTCAGCATTAGATATTGCCGGTCAGCCCGTTTACGAAGTAACTCATCCGTTGTTCATTTCCACCAAAGGTATTTTTCTTCTTGTTCACAATTTGGAAAATGATGCATATGGCCTGGCGGCGCCGGTTGCAAAGAAAGGAAATGCAAGAAGAAAAGTAGTTGACAAGTGCTCTATGACAAATATGGATCATCTCGAGTTCTGGTTGTCATTTGTTGCATTAAATGCAACTCGTCAAAGTCACAACGCATCTGTTAACTGTAAAGTATTGCCAAAGAAACTACCACCTGTGTTCTTGGCATGCACCCACGCAGACATGCCATTTGGTGGACAGAAAATGCCAGGAAAATGCTACGAAAATGCTACGAAAATGTCAAGAGAAATCCTTAAGCACTTGAAAACGAATGAGCACATTCCTGGGGAACACCTGGTTTCTTGTCTTTATCCAGTCGACAACACTGTATCAGGTTCGTCTGAAGATGAAGGTGTAAGAAGGTTAAGGAAAGATATTTGTGAAGTGGCAAAATGTCTGCCATACATGAATGAGGATATCCCAGTAAGATGGTTTCGATTTGAGAAGGAACTTTCATCTCTTGTTCAGGTTGGAAAGATTAGATATTTATCCACTGATGAAGCAAAGAAAATCGCTCTTGACTGCAAAGTTGATGTCGAATCTGATGAGTTCTTCACTCTCCTAAATTATCTTCATGATATCAGAGAAATAATCTTCTTCGAAGGCACAGAAACTGTCTTCATCGATACCCAGTGGTTAATCAACATGATAAGCAGAGTCATCACAGTTGAGCCCTTCGAGAACTGGCAAGAGGAACAGACAGATTCTTGGACCAAACTCGAGAATAAAGGAGTGCTAGACGTCTCTCTCTTGGAATATGTCTGGAGAGAAATAGCAGATGACAAACATGCCATTGATTCTCTGTTGGTGATTATGGAGAAATTCTCACTCGTTTGCCGCTGGAAAATTGATGACAAAGAAGATGTTTTCCTTGTTCCAGCGATGCTAATGAACAGCAGTGCCCAAGATATCGCTGAGCTGCTGAAAGATCAGATGCCGCCCCTTATCGTGTATTTTCCAAGCTCACATCTGCCTCTTGGTATCTTTCCAAGAGTTCAGGTTTTGTTTGCCGAATTGTGCAATCGCAAGTGGCCAAGTTCGCGTCCGCCAAAGTTCTTCCACAACTTTTGCAGGTAAGAGTTTTTAGACGTACTTCAATGCTTATAATATTGTTACAAGATTAGTCTTCTAGAGATCTTCTCAAAAAGATCGATTCGTTCTTCTTATGAAATTTACGAGTATTTCCTATACTTTTCTTGGTCTTAATCCACTAATCTACTGCTTTTCTCTAATCAACAAATCCTCATAACCTGCTGTTGCATACCCTCTATTCTTTATGTTTTCACTTCTAATTTTGTTCATGAAGTGTTTTAAACATTGTTGGTTTAGCCAGGTTAATATCGTTTTTATATTTCAAAAGGTTTTTTAGTATTGGCGAAGATGAAAGCTTTGACTTGGTGCTCACCTCTGACATCAGGACTATTTTAATTGGGGTTATCAATAACAATGAAGCAGACGACCAGAAGATCAGCGACTTTTGTCAAGAGATCATTGGATTTCTGAAAACCAAGCTCGGTACAGACATGCGTAAAGACTTCCCTTGGATGGAAAGGATGAAGTATAACCTATGCATACACTGCCCCATTTGCAAGCCGTCTCCAGACTGTGACCTGCCTCATGTTCCAGGATGTGTAAGCCCTGCCTGTGTGCACTTCATCACAGAAGAAGAAATCCTTAAAGAGAAGCGTCTTCGCTGTCTAGAAAATCCAACTTCCAAGGTCACTGACATTCCGTGTGAATACTTTCATCACTGGTTTCCAAAACCAGAAAAGGTAAAAAAGATTCTATGTATTAATGTTACTGAGGGAGTAATGCATGCTATCTTCAAGTAGTCAAGGCAGATTAGCGCAATCGCTTTCCTTGACATCTCTGGTCTCCAAGGGTCTGTGTACTCATTTCATAGTATGTGAATAATCCGATTATAGCATATTTGTGAAGGACAATCAAGCAGTGTAAAGTCTCTCTGACGTTATCATACTTAAGTACTGCTGATTTTAATTGACTAAATAGCCCTGTGTACTGTCTTTTATAAAGCACAACAGAAAAGTGTTGGTGAAACCGTGTCGTATCTTATCGTATTCAAGTGTATGCTACATATCTTATGAAATATGGCTAGTTAGTTTTTCGTAGTAGTGGTAATAGGCCGATTCTGGCGCTTTTTTTAAATTCCATTCTAGCTCCCGCCCACATGGCTAGCCACCCGATTTTTGGTTAAAAAACACGATTTTATGTAAAATTTATCCACTACTATGGGATTTAATAATAGATCGTCTATTTTAATAA